TTAGTGTTCTGCTCGCCAACATGTAGTTATAGATAAAAACTTCTTTTTTTACTGTGTAAAAAGGCTGATGAAAAATCGCCCCTTTGGTCACGTGGGTGCCGTCCTTGGAAAGGTTCCTCCCCAGAAATGCAACAAAAGCCATATTTTTGCAGTTGAATCTATTTTGCCAATATAACCAAAACACTATTCGCTTGAGATCTAATTTGATCTTGTATTCTGAACTGGAGGAAAGTCCTAATTGAGCATGCTGTTTGCTCTACTTGCACATAATCTTGCGATCGTTTTGTTGAGTCAAGCGTGGTCCGAACACAACCGCTTCTGGTCGGCAAAACACGGTCAGAACCTGTCCCACCTCCAGCGGTAACAAAGTTGCTCGTGGATGAGGAGAGATAGGAGATTCATAATTTTATACACAGAAATACTATATAGGCCTATGTGGCACATTCAAATTCGTAGCGAGCCTTTGGATGTCTCACTGTGCATTGTACGTGTACATGTGTGTACATGTCCGAACCCCAACCGATCCGAAGTTCGGCAAAAAATTTCCGAGCTGTGTCTGAACCGAACTGAACCTTGACACCTACTTGCAGCACTATTTTATGCGGAGGTTGACTTTTTTATTACTTTCAAAGAAGATGGTACACGTGACTGAAGTTAAAAATAAATTCAGATTGTGTTTATGCGGATATTTCCTTTCAGAGACTATAGATCAGGCGGTAAAATGAGGCAACCGTGTTTGGCATTTCCCGTCACTTCCATATAAACTTATTTATTTCCCAGTCTAAAAATGCTTAAAGACGAACATTGATCTTGTGGCAATGTCTTTTTGTCATGAAGTACCCACTCAAAACATTTCTGAAGCTAGAGAAATGTCTGTAGCCTTGAATGCAGTTGATTTTGCGTCTCCATCACAAGGTGTTAACCACTAGGCTGACCGGGGCCACTGAAGTTCTCCTTGAATAAGATCTATTCTTCACAACTACGGCTGTGTAAGCCATAAACTCCATTGTTGTCAGGGTTGCTCGTGAAGCTAGACAGTCCAGGGCAGACGGTTCTTTTCAAACCGTTGAACCGTCCAACACCAAAAGACGAACGGAATAAAGGGGGATTAACACCAACCGTTGAACTGTTTCTAAACCATCTGTATTTTGACCTCATGCCTAAATTGTAATCTCACATTTTTGACTTGTGATTGAATTGGAGGTCCATTTGCATCAGTGATGGGACCTGAATCCCATGTTTGTTTGTTTGTTTGTTTTTAGTGTACTGGTTTTGACCACTCTATCCAGTTTTGATTTGTGGAGCCAAATAATAATAAAAAAAATGTTCAGAGTTTCTGCTGCAAGACAGACATATTTGCTTTGTCCAGTTTAAGCTCATTCCGGGAAGAACCTTTGCCTGTCAATTAAAAAAAATTTATACTATAAATAATTGTAAAGGTGATCGCACTTGTTGTATAAGGCACTGACCACAATAAGCCTAGCTATGTGTGCTTCCTGAAGTTCTTCTGTACATGTAGCAGAGTGTGGCTGCCATCAAAGGGCTATATCAATGTCGGCAGGAACTGTCCATGAAGGTTTGAGTCCTGGGACGAACTTGATTTACAGCGACTTTGGTCAAAGGAGCAGGAATGTCAAGTTATACATTTTGTTTGGAATTTGAGTCAAGATTTGAGGAGTTTGAGTAAACCCGCTTTGATTTCTCTCTGCACTACTCAAAGTCATCCACCCATCTTCTTTTATCTTTGCAGGAGCCCTGAGAGCAAGCGACGGCACCAGGGTCACCGTCAATTACAAGGGGATGGATGTCTCCAGCCCGGATTCCCTGTCCAGCTTGCCAGACCTTTCTCAAGTTGAAGGAGGTTAGTGGGTCGTCCTGGCTTCAAATGAGGCTCAGATAAAAACCTGGTGCTGACTGACACAAATTTTCATTTGGCCGCTGATCTTCCTCCATATCGTCGCATTAGTACTATAACGTCATGAACAAAATATTTCCACTAAAAGGTCGTTAATGAAATTTTTGAAAAACTTGAAATACAACCAAAGTCCTGCTGAAGATTTGAGAAACAGTCCCCCAAAATGATTTTTATCAATGAAATAATGTGGAACATTACATGTTTCTTTATAAAATTCTTTCATGCTTAGAATAGGGCCCTAAAATTATTTTCAAAATCATCAGTGCTATAAGGTCATTACTGCCATAACGACCTTCTAGCACTGACCCGACGATATGTTGTTTCTTTTGTCATTTTTCTTTTGAGGGTAAGAAACAATGTTGTAAGTGTTAAAAACAGGTACCTCAGGAAACGTCCTCTTGACCTTCGGGTTAATTGGTTTTCAAGAAGAGCTGTAGTTTGAGTCTGTTTCCATCAGGAAAGCTGTATAGTTAAAAGTTTGACAGTGGCGTCTGAGCATTTGTGACCTGCTGAGGCTAAATGAGGAATGATCCCCAAAACCTTGTTTAGAGTAATTGGCGGCTGAAGTTGCATATACGTAAAAAATCATGTCAAAATCGTTTTTCGGATTTTTAGGTAGGTTAGGTCTCAAAGATTTCCTCTAGCTATGCCTTTTGTGCAAGAAAATCCAGCAAAGGTGATAAAAAGGAGGATTTCTGGAGTGAGTTTTCTCCAATCTTTTCTAAAATTGATATTGTTTTCCTCTTACATGATGAAATTTTGTCCATATTCTGAGTACGTTTTCAGGCAGTTTGACCGTTGTCCTTGCATAAAGTTTGGCACTGTTGGAAAGGGCTTTCCCTACAGAGTCTATTTATAGCGGTGATATCATTGACTGGATGACCTCTAGCCTGTTCCAGGCCTCAAAAGGAGATAAACAACTCTCCTTTGTTATATTGAGAAGCTGCGTCTCGTTCACCAGCTATGCCTATATAAGCCAAAGAAGCTGTATGATTGGATCTCCACACAACTACTGTTACTTGGAAACGTAATGAAAACTGCGTAGGCAAAATCAAGCAGTTTGATTGGTCTCCTGTTATTCAAATGTTCAGCATCTGGTTCGTAAGTGACTTCCTCACAAAGGCAAACACACCACGATTTGCAGGCTCCCATTGGACGATCGCAGAAGGGGCGCGTTAACTTCCGGTTCCATGGTTCCATGTAAATGGCGATCAATGCATGTAACTCTATGTGCAGTGCACGTGCAGTGGGTGTGGTTTAAACTGAAGTGACGTCACACTTTACACACTGGATGGTTTACTTGGATATGTGTCAAGCGCTTCGTTTGTCCAATCAGCATGCATTTCACGCGTGCGGAAAAGATACTTTTACTGTAGCCTGACTGTACGTACACGCACGCAAGAACAGTGATGCTGTGTGCATGCACACGGCACTATACGATGTTTAGTGTACATGTACGTGGATGGGTGCGTATACGAGTCGGTCGATTACAACGCGGCATGTACATGTACACTGGTTACGTTACAACCACTAACTTGAGCTGAATACTTGAGATTTTTGACTGCCCAAAAGGGACAACCCTGCCTCATATTTTCGCTAAATTCAACTGGAGTAATATCTATCTCATCTTATCCCTGTATTGCACCCTTGTCATCCACCCATGACACTGTTTGTTGGCTCATGAGACACCAGCATATGCATGTACTCTGTAAACTTTGAAAGTTGAAGGCAAGATCTGATGCCATTGGCTGGACAACAGCATTCTGAAGTGCCAGAATTTTCGGTTGGCAGAGAATATGAGTCTTACTTGTCAATTGAGAAAGGGTGATGTTTGACTGAAGAAGCTCAGATTTACTTATCTTAAGAGGTACTTGCAAATTTTAATATCAAAAAGGAATCTTCGGAAATCCAGAAACAAACTTGGGAGGCAGTGTCAACATCGGCCCGTTCAATGTCGAGAAATTCATGACCACGAAACTCAACTGCCATGGATTTTTGCTTTTCCAAAAAAACAAAAACAATAAAACTTCCGGGAAACAATGTTGGAAGACATTCTTTCAGTTTACTCTGGTACATGTAGTTCATGGCAAAAGCTGCCCATAAATATAATGTTGTTGTGGTCATGTAGATCAAGAACGATAACGGAGCGCACACAACACGCTCGTGGCTAGCGGGGTTTTTTTTAATGCCTTTTTTTCCGGAAAGTAGTTTTGACCACAGCCATGTTTCCCTTCGTCATTTCCACGTCATATTTTTGGAGCAGAGTTGCCTACGAGTATAAATTGGGTATCACTGAAAAGCCCATTCCTTTCTCTTTATTCTCATATGCATATCTCAAAAAGTCATCAATGGGGATCATTCCTCAATATGCCATGACAGGTCACGTTTGTGCTTTAGAAAATAAGCAGAAATCTCAGTATTCTGGAAGCAATTAGGTCTGCTTTCATTCTTTTGTCAAGCTGTGTGTTCCGTCAGTCATTCCTTCAAAGGAATATAAGTTTAATTCTTGAATAATCCACCAGGGTATCGATTATTGGGATATATGTTTGTGTTCTGATCTTCAAATCAGGATATGGCAGGGAGCGCTTCCTTTCAGAAAGCATTAGAATGGCCAATAACTTTTCATGCCAAAAGACTCCAACATGGAGGCCTTGACCTTTAGCTTTATTTCAACTAGCTCTCTGGGCAAGTCAACGTATTTTTCTACTGAATTTTCACGTGGCTGCAGGACATTTTTAAGCAAAGCTCGCTAATATTTTGACCTTCAATGTTCCAACAATTAAGGTGGAGTCTCGCTGTCAGTTTTGTAATACTTAAAATTGAAGGAAAACTGTTACAGTTGGCAGTGAGCAACACATACGATCAATTTACAAAGTTCATTTTATTCGTCTTTCCAAAGATGAC